TATAATAGGTAGAAGCATAACCCAGAGATATTGCAGGTTCAGTTTCTGACCACCACAATGAAGTAAGTCACATGAATTTTTTGATTTCCCAGTGCACATAAAAGTTATGTTTATACTATACTGTAGTCTATTAAATGTGCAATAACATTATGTCTTAAAAAACAACATATATACCTTAATTAAAAATATACTTTATTGCTAAAAAAAGCTAATGATCATCTGACCCATCAGTGAATCATAATCCTTTTCCTGGTGGAGGGCCTTGCCTCAGTGTTGATGGCTGCTGACTGATAGGGTAGTGGTTCCTGAAGGTTGGGTGGCTGTGGCAATTCTCAAAATTAGACAACAATGAAATTTGCTGCATCAATTGATTCTTTCCTTCACAAAATATTTCTATGTAGCATACAATGCTCTTTGATAGCATTTTACCCACAGTAGAACTTTCAAAATTGGAGTGAATCCTCTCAAACACGGCAGCTGCTTTATCCACCAAGTTTATATACTATTCTATTAAAGAAATCCTTTGGTTTCAGCAATGTTCACAGCATCTTCACCGGGAGTATATTCGATCTCAAGAAACCACCTTCTTTGCTCACCTATAAGAAGCAACTCCTCATTGGTTCAAGTTTCATCATGAGATTGCAGCAATTCAGTCACATCTTCAGGCTTCACTTGCAATTCTAGTTCCCTTGTTTCCACCACATCCACAGTTCTTCCTGTGCTGAAGTCTTGAAGCCTTCAAAGTAATCCAGGAGCGTTAGAATCAACTTCTTCCAAACTCCTGTTAAGGTTGACATTTTGATCTCCTCTCATGAATCACAAACGTCCTTAATAGCATCTAGAGCATCTAGAATGGCGAATCCTTTTCAGGTTTTCAATTTACTTTGCCCAGATCTGTCAGAGGAATCACTATATATGGCAGCTATGGCTTTATGAAATGCATTTCTTAAATAATAACACTTGAAAGTCAAAATTACTCCTGCATCCTGTGTTAGTAGGCATAAAAGCAACATTTGCCTCATTGTACATCTCCATCAGAGCTCTCAGGTAACTAAATGCATTGTTAATGAGCAGTAATATTTTGAAAAGTATCTTTTTTTCTGAGTAGTTGTTCTCAACAGTGAGCTTAAAATCTTCAGTAAACCATGCTGAAATAGATGTGATGTCATCCAGGCTTTGTTGATCCATTAATAGAGCACAGATAGAGTGGACTTAATATAATTTCTAATGGTCTTAGAATTTTCAGAGTGGTAAATGAGCATTGGCTTCAACTTAACGTCACTGTGTGCACTAACCCCTAATAAGAGAGACAGCCTGTCCTTTGAAGCTTTGAAGCCAGGCATTGACTTCTCCTCTCTAGCTATGAATGTTCTAAATGGCATCTTCTTCCAATAGAAAGATTTTCATTTACATTGAAAATCTGCTGTTTAGTATAGCCACCTTCATCAATTGTCTTACCTAGATCTTCTGAATATATTGCTTCAGCTTCTACAAGAGCGCTTGCAGTCTTATGTGATGGAGACGGATTCTTTCCTTAAAGCTCATGAACCAACCTCTGCTAGCTTCAGACTTTTCTTCTACAGCTTCCTCACCTATCTCAGCCTGCATAGAATTGAGGAGAGTTAGGACCTTTCTCTGGATTACGCCTTGGTTTATGGAAACATGGCTGGTTTTCTCATCTACCCAGACCACCACAACTTTCTCCGTATCATTAATAAGGCGATTTCACTTTCTCATCATCGTGTGTTCATTGGAGTAACGATTTTAATTTCCTTCACGTACTTTTTCTTTGCATTCACAACTTAGCTGTTTGGTGCAAAAGACCTAGCTTTTGGCCTGTCGTGGCTTTCAACATGCTTTCTTCACTAAGCTTAAATGTTTCTAGCTTTGGATTTAAAGTGAAAGATATGTGACCCTTCCTTTCAATTAAACACTTGGAGAGGCCATTGTAGGATAATTAATTGGCCTAATTCGATATTGCTGTGTCTCAGGGAATAGGGAGGCCCAAGGAGAGAGAGACATGGGAGCAGCTGGTCAGGGAGCAGTCAGAACACACATATTTATCAATTAAGTCCACTGTCTTATATAAGTGTGGTTTGTGACACCCAAAAACAATTACGATAGTATCATCAAAGATCAAGATCACTGATCACAAATCACCATAACAGATAAAATAATAATGGAAAAGTTTGAAATATTGCAAGAATTATCAAAATGTGACACAGAGACACAAAGTGAGCACATGCTTTTGGAAAAGCAGCACTGCTAGACTTGCTTGACACAGAGTTGCCAGAAACCTTCAATTTGTAAAATACGAAATATCTGAGAAGGGCAATGAAGCAAAGCGCAATAAAACAAGGTATGCTTGTATATGTATCGTAAGTTTTTATACACACACACTTGTGATTCAATTGAGGAAGTTCGAACACTGCCTGTATAGTCGATTATTTTTAAATTATGGGGTTTTCTAAGAAGTGATAAAAGAATTAACAAGAGTCTTCATATTTTAGAGCTATATATTGGAATGTTTTCAAATAAAATATGGTATCTGGCATAGTTTCAAATTTATCCAGAGTGAGGGAATTAGTAGAAGAGATGAAAAAAAGATTCAATGACTTGATAATTATTGAATCTAGATGTTGTCTACATGGAGTTTAATTATACTATTCTCTCTACTATTGTATATGTTCAAAGTGTTTTCTCATAAAAAGGACAAGAAATGATCAGGGATATTTTAAAAGGTGAAAATTCACTTCCAACCAAGATGGAATAAAAGGGACCATATTTATATTTCCACTTGAAACAATCAAAAACATGCAAAATATATGAAACAATGGTTTTGAGACACTGAACATCAAGCCACAAAAAAGATAGGAAACAAATGAAGATGTTCTACGTTTGCCCAGCTTACTGTATTTAAAGCATTCCCAAGCCACTGTGCAGTGAGGGGGAGCCCAGACAAAGTCCAGAAGACTTCTGAGTTCAGAACACAGAGATGAGTGTCCCTGGGGACCACGGTGGCCTGACTTCACAGAACAGGGTCCTGGACAGACAACTGCGCAGGGGGAGAGCCACAAAAACCTGCAGAGGCCCCCCCTTCAGTGTGCAGTGGACTACTGATCAGCACATGCATAGGAGGGACCCACTAGCAAATGAACCATTGAACATTTACGTTTAAAAATATCATTTACAATAACAGTAAAGATATGAAATACTTAAGAACCAATCTGAGAAAGGATGTGTGAGATGCATACGCTAAAAACTGCAAAAACTGCTGAGAGAAATCAAAGAAGACCTAAATAAATGAAGAGATATACCATATCCATAGGGCAAAACATTCAAGTTTGTTAACATGTCAATTTTCCATAAATTGATCTATACATTTAACACAATCCAAATCAAAATTCCAGAATTTTTTGAAAAAATTGACAAATTGGTTCTAAAAGTCATATGGAAATGCAAAGGGCCCAGTGTCATCAAAATAACTCTGAAAAAGAAGAACAAACCTGGAAGGCTAACATTATCCTATTTCAAGACTTATTAAAAGCTACATTGTACGGCATTGGTATAAAGACAGGCTAATAGATCAACAGACTAGGAGAGGGAGTTGAGAAATAGACCCACTCATAAGTGGACAACTGATTTCTGACAAAGGTGTAAAGTCAATTCAGTGGAGAAAGGATAACCTTTTCAACAAATAGTATTGGAGCATTCGGATACCTGTTTACAAAAAATAAGCCTTGATCCAAAAAATCAAAAACAAAAAACAAAAATTCAAAATACAATATAGAACTAAATGTAAAACCTAAAATTCTAAAAACTTGAAGACAATATAGAAAATCTTGGCGACCTTGGATTAGGCAAAGATGTGTTAGATATGGCATCAAAAGTATGATCTACAAAAGAAAAAACTGGTAAACTATACTT